CCTCCCTCCTACCTCCTCCTTCCTCCCTCCTCCCACCTCCTCCGCCTCCTCCTCCTCCTCCTCCTTATCCTCATCCTCATGTTCCTCCTCCTCCTCCTCCTTTTCCTCCCTCTCCTCCTTCTGCTCCTCTTGCTCCTCCTCCTCCTCCTCATCATCATCATCATCCTCCACCTCCTCCCGTCCTCCTCCTCTTCGTCTTCCTTTTCCGCCTCCTCCTCCTCCTTCTCCTCGTCCTCCTCTTCCTCCTCATCCTCCTCCTCCTCATTCTCCTCGTCCTCCTTTTCCTCCCCCTCCTCCTTCTGCCCCTTCTGCTCCTCCTTCTCCTCCTCCTTCTCCTCCTCCTTCTCCTCCTCCTCCTACCCTTCCCTCCCTGCAGACACTCCGTCCCCTCTCCTCCTGCGTTTTCGCGTTCCGTCCCACTCCCTTCCCCGCCCCTGTGGCATCGGGGCTCCTCGGATCCTCGTGGCCGTCGTCGCCGTCGTTGCCGTCGCCCGTCTTCGGCGTGGCCGTCGTCGCCGCCGTTTCTTCTTTGTCGGGGCTGTCGTCGTCGTCGTCGTCATCGTCGTCGTCGTGGGTTGTGGTTCGTGGTTCGTGGTTCGTGGTGGTCGTTGCGGCTGTCGTCGTCGCCGCCGTCCTGGTCGTCCTCGTCCATCGCCAGCAGGCCCTCCCTGCTCCTCCCACCCTGACTCCCCTGGACATGCTCGCGTCGTGAAAAAATCACGACGGGAGGCTTTTGGCTGTTTTCGGCCTCCGGGGGCCCTCGCTGGGCCCTGGGATCGTCAGAAACGACACGGAATGAAAAACTGGTCTGGGGAGGGAGGTCGGGACTTCTCGGGACCCAGTGTTAAAAAAGGCAAGACAGCATATGTCTGGATCATACGTTCGCCCCCACCCCCCTTTGCCCTGAGATCCTGCGTCTCAACAAAAATTGAGACGCCGTAGAAAAATCGAGCCTGGAGCCCTATAGACCCTGTCTCTCTGCACCATTTCTCGAGCCGGATAGATCCGTGAGGGTCTCGGGGCCCGAAATGATGCGACAACGCCCGGCTCGAGAAAATTGAGTCGCCAGGATCTCAGAGTCCCTCCCTCCCTCCCCTCTCCTCTTCTTCCTCCGCCCCTCCCCTTCCCCTAAGTCTCCCTCGTGGGCGCTACGCGGCCATGTGGTTTAGGGGCGTCGGCCCCCCTGGCCGGGCGGCGGCGATTCGTCTGAAGGGTGCATGTTGAGGGCCTCGGGACTGGCCAGGTGGATCCTCCTCCTCCTCCTCCTTCTTCGCCTCCTCCTCCTCCTCCTCCTCCTCCTCCTCCTCTTCGTCCTTCTCGTCCTCCTCCTCCTCTTCCTCCTCCTCCTCCTCCTCCTGCTCCTCCTCTTCCTCCTCCTCCCTCCTCCTCCGCGGTCCACCAACCCGCCCTCCTCCTCCCGCCTCTAACGGTGGCGCCTGATCCCGAGGCCCGATGCTCGAGGAGCGGGGTCTTGTCACGGATCTGCAGCCTCCGGAGCTTCACGGGGGGCGGGGGCCTCGACGTTGACACCAACACCAATATCGGCGGTTTGCCTCTACCGAGGGAGGAAGATCCCGATCTCGGTGTTGGTGGTAGTCGGAGGTGAGGGGGTGAGATCGAAGTGGAACGGAGAGCCCCACCTACCGGGAAATCGGTTTCGGTTTCGTGTTCGTGCGTGCCGTGCGTGCGGGCGAGGCGAAGCTGCGTGGACGGGCGAGAGGAAAGTCTCCTGAGGCTGAGGCGCGGCCAGACCAAATGATTCCCTTCCGGCAACCGGTGCCGCGCGGTGTCCCGCCGGTGTCCCGCTGTGGCTGAGGCGCGGCCAGACCAAATGATTCCCTTCCGGCGTCCGGTGCCGCGCGTTGTCCCGCCGGTGTCCCACCGGTGTCCCGTCGGTGTCCCTATGATGATGATGATGATGATGATGATGATGATGATGATGATGATGATGATGATGATGATGGTGATGATGGTGATGATGGTGATGATGGTGGTGATGATGGTGATGATGATGATGATGGTGATGGTGGTGATGGTGGTGATGGTGGTGATGATGATGGTGTCCCGATGGTGATGAGCATGTTAACGATGTTGATGATGATGATGATGATGATGGTGATGGTGGTGATGATGATGGTGTCCCGATGATGATGGTGATGTTGATGATGATGATGGTGTCCCGATGCTGATGATGATGATGCTGATGCTGATGCTGATGATGATGTTGATGATCCTGATGATGTTGATGATGATGAGATGATGATGAGATGATGGTGATAATGATGATGATGAAAATGATGATGACGGTGTCCCGATGCTGATGAGGTCGATGCTGATTATGTAGATGATGATGGTTACGATGATGATGGCGTCCCCATGATGATGACGATGATGGTGTCCCGATGATGATGATGTTGATGATGAGGATGATGATGAGGTGATGATTCATGATGTTGATGCTGATGGCCCGATGATGATGATGACGGTGCTGATGTTGATGATGATGGTGCCCCGATGATGTTGATGCTGATGGTGATGATGCTGGTGACGACGATGATGGTGTTTCGATGATGATGATGCTTGTGACGATGATGCTGTTGATGATGATGATGGTGTCCCGATGATGATGATGACGATGTTGATGATGTTATTCATGATGATGATGAGATGATGATGGTGATGGTGGTGGTGTTCCGATGGTGATGGTGTCCCGATGATGAGTTGATGATGATGATGATGATGGTGACGATGACGGTGTCCCGATGATGATGATTATGGTGATGCTGGAGTTGCTGGTGATGGTGATGATGTGATGATGATGATGATGATGATGACGGTGTCCCGATGGTGATGATGATGATGATGATGATGATGATGATGATGATGATGATGACGACGTTGATGACGATGATGTTGATGATGCTGATGATGACGTTGATTGTGAGATCGATAGTGATATCGATAATGAGATCGATAGTGGGATCGAATGTGAGATTGATTGTGAGATCGATAGTGAGATCGATAGTGAGATCGATTGTGAGATCGATAGCCAGATCAATTATGAGAGCGATCGTGTGAAATAGACCCAGTGAGATCGATTGTGCGATCGATCGAGTGAGATCGATCAATCGAGACCGATTGTGAGATCGATAGTGAGATCGATAGTGAGACCGATCGAATGAGACGTTGGTTCCTCCCCCCCCCGAACCTCCTTATCACCCGAAGGGTGGTCGTATAGGTATTATGGCTCTCAAGGTGACCGAACCATCACCACCAACACCGAGATCTAGGATCCCCTTCCCCTGTGGAGGCCCCCCCCCCTTTGTTGGTGTTGGTGCCAACTTCCAGGCCTCCAATCATGGGGGGGGGCCTCTGGAGGCCCGTTCGGGGGGGTGTCCTCGAAGCGGCAGGCCCAGACCTTGGGCGACTCTGCCGTGGGGGCGCGCGCAGCAAGAAGCCATGTACTCTTCGTCGGGGCGCCGCGGGGGTGGACAGAACAACACCATTGGAACGCGGATTCGTGAATTGTCCGTTTTGGGTTCTCGAGAGGGCGCCGCGGCCGTCATCTTCCAGGCTTGCGCCCGCCAGGTTTGGGCCCGAGGTCGTCTTCACGAGGCCACGCTTTGCTAAAGGGTGTTCTGTCCATCCCCGAGTGCCCTGGCCCTGGCCTGGTGCCGTGGACCACCTGGGCCTCGTCCGTGAGGGCGTGCCCACAGACGCGCGCGGCCCTGACCTTTGTCCACGACAAGCGGGGCCGACCCCCCCGTTCGTCTTACATCGGGCGTGTCCCTCTACAGGAGGAGAATTCCAAAATAGTCTAAAAATAGTCGGGGGACGACTTCCGGACTATTCTTCATCATTTTTGGAGTATTGTTGGGATATGGTTTGGGGTATTTGTTTTTCAATTTGTTTGGGGTATTATAAAAAAAATGTTGGGGGTATTTTTTTCGGTCTACAAATAGTCAGGGGACTATTTTTGGGGGTACTGTTTAAAACATGTTCGTCCAAAAGCCGCCTGTATGGGGGGCATGCCCGACGTGACGCTCGTCCCCGAGGCGCTGTCTTCGACGGTCTCCCGGGGCCGGGCGGTGGCCTCCTGCGGAGGCCGACCACGGCGCGCCAGAGGTTTCTCGTCATGATGCGTCTCCGCGGCGCGAGCACGCCATGGGCATCCTGAGCGATCCGACGCTGCCAAGATAATTACTAGCAACACTAACAATATGAATAATAATGAGAGTGATGAGAAAAATGATAGTACGAATGCGAATAATGATATCAATAGTAAAACCAAAAAATAGTAGTAATGATAATAATAGCTATGAGAAGGATCATACTCATAATAATAATAATAATAATAATTATAGCAATAATAATAATAGTAGTAATAATAATAATAATAACGCAGCAGCGCGAAAAAATCCTGCCCAGAGCCCCGGACCCCATCTTCCTGCGCCATTCGATTCTTCGAGTTGGATCGATTTGTGAGGCGCACGAGGCCAGAAGCTGGGCGAAAGCGCCAGGCTCGGGAAAGAATGGGGCCGCCAGGATCTCAGAGGGTGCACGGTGCACCTGCCAGGGTTAGGTCGGGCATGTCCCCCTACAGGCGGATTTTGGAGGGAACATATATGACAGCCAAACGCAATTCAAGCATTGCCCAAAAATCATAGTCCACATTGGAGGAGGAGGAGGAGGAGGAGGAGGAGGAGGCGGAGTCCTAGACCCCATTTTTCAGCTCAACTTTTTCGAGCTGGATCGACCGGTGAGGGTCTCGGGGCCCGAAACTGGGCGCAAACGCCCAGCTCGAAACACATGGAGCCGCCAGGATCTCAGGATATGCGCCTGTCTTTGTTGACCCCGGCAAGTTTACTCGCATGGACGGGGGGGCTTGAACCTGAAGTCAGCCGCAAGAGACCTGCACGTGCGGAAACCACGCAAGTCGAAAGGCACTTGCACGCCAGAGTTCGTCTGAAGAGGGGCGAGAGGGGGGGGTGGGGGGGTGGCGAACGCCATGCAAGTAAACATGCCCGAATCTAAAACAACAGGCTCCAGGGTATGCACCTGCCCGGGCCCAGGGGGTGGCCCGAGGAAAGCCGGCACGGAGGCGGTGCCGTGGTGCCCTCCGCGCACCGCTCGGCGCAGGCGGCGGGGCCGCCAGAAGTCCGCCGCGGAAGTGGCGTTCAAGCTCGCGCGCGCGCCGTCCGCGGGCGTGGCGCCGCCGCCTCAGCATGGCGCCCCCCCCACCCCACCCTGCGGATGGGGCGTGCTGTCCCCGGGCCTCCACGTGTTGCTCGGCGGCGAGCGAGCGAGGAGGGGGAAGGGCGAGGGAGCAGGCCTGCTCAGAAGGCGGCGGGGCGGGCTTCTCAGAAGGCCTCCGAGGCGGGGATTTATCCATAACCACCGCCTGGGGGATGGATCACGGCGGACCTCCACAGGCGGTGGATCTAGACGTACTCGGGCCCCTGGGGGGGCAAAGCGTATCCACATCCACCGCCCGCGGGGGCACCAGGGTGTCGATTCCCAGGCGGTGGATCTGGATCATTCCCCTACATGGACTCAGGGGGGCCCAAAACAGTACCTTACCCCTTCTCAGTCTGTGGTTGCTTGCCCTTCAGCATCCGATTCTATCAGTACCCTGCTGGATATGGCATCTTGCAGCTCAAGTACATACCTGCTCGGTCTCGTGCCGTCTACCAGATCATCGAGAGGAGAAGTAGAAGGAGGAGGAGGTGGAGGATGAATGGTAAGTTGTTTCTTGCAGCTCTGGCGCGTGTCTGGCGGTCTGGAACGTGTCGAGCAGCCGCGGCAGGAGAGGTGAGGTCTTGGGAGCTCCCCCGAGTCTCTGGAAGGAGAGGGGAAGACGGAGGAGTGGAGAGTTGCAGATGGAGCAGGGGTGGGGGTGGGGGGAAGGGGGAGAAGGTGTCAGATGAGGCGGCGAGGACGATGAAGTTGGAAGGCGAGGAGGAGGAGGAGGAGGAGGAGGAGGAGGAGGAGGAGGAGGAGGAGGAGGAGGAGGAGCATGAGGGGGGAGGAGAGGGGATGAAGGGAGGAGGATTATCACGGAGGAGGAAGAAGAAGGAAAGGGGTGCCGCCAAGGATGCAGCAGATGATGCTGCAGCAGTGCCAGCAGGCGCTGATGATGCAGCACCTGCAGTGGATGCCGGCCGCGGCGATGGCGCAGATGCCGCCAGCGTTGGGCATGTTTCCTAACGCGCAGCCGCCACAAGTGAACAGCAGGACCAGAGGAGGAGGGGGAGGAGGAGGAGGAGGAGGAGGAGGAGGAGGAGCAGGAGGAGAAGGAGGAGAAGAAGGAGGAGGAGGAGGCTGGCATTGTCGTTGCAAGAATTCGGGCCGCGGTCAGACAGGGCCCCCCCGGGTGGTCCCGACGGGCCTCGACGGGCCCCCCCCGAGCAGTCCAGGCTGGCCTCCACGGGCCCCCTAAGGCAGTCCGGGGCGGCCTCGACACCCCGCGCCCCAAGGGCGGTGACGGTGAGACCACCCCGGGCCACTCGGGGGGCCTGCCGAGGCCAGCCGGGACCGCCCTTGGGGGGCCTCCCTCCCCACCTTTTGTGGGGGTCGGTTCATGGAGAGGAAGCGTGCTGCCAAATAATTTCCAGATGTCTCAAGCATGTTTCAAGCATGTTGTAAGTAGATATAACACATGTTTGAAACATTGTTAGAAAATGCTTTATACATGACCTTCATTCAATGACAGGATTGTTAGAGTGTACATTGTCATGACATCCACAACCCTACCTCCTGTCCGCCGCAACACCCCTTCCCTTGAGCACATGGGCTTCATCATGTGTTCGTTTACTCCATCGACGATCACAACGCCGTGCTTGCCGGTTTCGGAGCGGGTCCGCTGCGCCCAGCCGCGGAAGTGCAGCTATCTCCCATGACTGGGCATCGCTCGGACGTGTGCATTTTTTCTCGGCGGGAACCATCGAGGACCATCCTGGACCATCGAGCGAAGAAAAAACACGCACGAAACCGAGCAGTGCACGGGACATGAACGTCCGAGCGACGGCAAGAGGAGGGTCGCGACATGTTTTGCGCCCCACTCGAGATGCCCAGAACCTTCTCCCGTCCCCCTGCTGGCGCCCAGCCCCCCCAGACCTGCGGGGGATTTTGAGTTCTCGGGGGTGGACAGGCCTCCTAACCCCGACGCGTCGATCCCCGAATTGGCAGTTTTCGGTTCGCGAGAGGGCGTCGCGGCCGTCCTCTTCGCGGGTCCGGGTCCGTCGGTTTCGGCCCCAGGCCGTTTTTCACTAAGGGGCTTGGCATCGCTCGGACGTGTGCACTTTTCCTTCGGCGAGGACCATCGAGGAGCATCCTTGATCATTTGGCGAAAAAACCACGCACGAAACCAAAAAAACACAGGGAATGGACGTCCGAGCGATGGCCAGGGGGAGGTGTTTGCCAAAGAGAGCTTAGTCCACCGCCGAATGTCTTCACAACGGAGCGTCCTGGAAGTCCGAAAGGGCGCGTTCGGTGGACGCCGCGAGGGGGATGACAAGTCGCTGGTGGGGCAGCTTGGGCCCAGAGTAAGACCCCTAGGGGCCTCCTCCCTTCTATCGGGCCGGACGAAAGGGGGGGGATTGGGAAAGGGGGGGGTACGAAATTTGCTGCATGCAGCTGGTTTCGGCTTCACCGAGGGGCCCATTCCTCGATACGTAGTCGCCTCCGGCGCCGGGAGGCGCCGGGAAAATCAGCTACGTGAGCTGATTCTCAAACCCCCCTTTTGCTATCCCCCCCTTTCGCCCGACCCGATTCTATCCTCCACTTTTGTGAGGTAGGGGGGGGGTCCATGGTTTGGCGGGAGGAGGGATGAAGAGGAGGCTCAGGGAGGCAAGAGGACGGAGGGGCGCAGGATGGACAAAGGGTGGAGGGGGCAGAATGGGGAGCTGGTGATGCACGAGGGGTGGATGGCGGCAGAGCTGGGAAGGAGATAAAGAGATGCACTAGGAGGGAGGGAGGGTGAGGGCGAAAGGACAGCAGGAGGAAAATGAGGACGAAGGACGAGGGCAACATGAGGTAGGAAGGGAAGGATGAGAGAGGACGCGGGAATGTGCATCAACAATCTCATGGCCGCTTTTGGAGTCGGAGTCGAAGTCGTCGGAGTCGGCGTCGGAGTCGGAGTCGTCTGACTTCGAGATGGAGTCGTTGCAGTTGGAGTCGTCAGAAGCCTCGTCGTCGTCGTCGCCATCATGTCGAGGTGTGCTTGGGTGTGTCTGGCGTGAATCTGGCGAATGTCACGGTGTGTCTGGGTGTGGTTGGGGCGTATATGCGGTGCGTCTGGGTATGTCTGGAGTGTGTCTGAGGTGTGTCCCGGCTCTGGCTTGGGTGCGTCTGGCTTGTGTCTGGCGTGTGTGTCGCGTGCGTCTGGCGTGTGTATGGCGCGTGTCTGGGTGTTTCTGGTGTTTGTTTTTGTGTGTTGGCCTGTGTCTGGCGTTTGTCAGGATGTGTCTGGCGTGTGTCTGGCGTGTGCCGGGGGCCCAGGGTGTGCCTGTGGCGTGTATCTGGCGTGTGCCTTGCGCTTGTCTGGCGTGTGTCTGGGTGTGTCTGGCGTGTGTCTGGGGTGTTTCTGGCGTTTGTCTGGGTGTGTCTGGCGTGTGTGTTTGTGTGTGTGTGTGTGTGTGTGTGTGTGTGTGTGTCGGGCCGGGCGAAAGGGGGGGATTGGGAAAGGGGGGTTACGAAATTTGCTGCATGCAGCTGGTTTCGGCCCCACCGAGAGGCCCATTCCTCGATACATGGCCGCCTCCGGCGCCGGGAGGCGCCGGGAAAATCAGCTCCGTGAGCTGATTCTCAAACCCCCCCTTTGCTATCCCCCCCTTTTGCCCGACCCGAGTGTGGCGTGTGACTGATGTGTGCCTGGCGTGTGTCTAGGTGTGTCTGGCGCGTGTCTGGCGTGTGTCTGGCGTGTTTCTGGCGTGTGTCTGGCGTGTGTCTTGCTTGCTTCTGGCGTGTAGCTGGCGTGTGGTTGGAGTGTGTCTGGCATGTGCCTGGCGTGTGTCTGGCGTGTGTCTGGCGTGTACCTGGGGTGTGTGTGGAGTGCGTGCCAGGGTGTGTCTGAGGTGTGTGTGTGTGTGTGTGTGTCTGGGGTGTATATGTGTATGTCTGGATATGTCTGGGCTGTCTCGTGGGCGCGGTCCTCTGAACACGGTTGCATTTTTCAAGTATACCCATCCCGAGATGTGTCCACACTCCATTGCTGTGTGCGCGCACACGCACTGCAACATCTCACTTGTCCCACGCACAGCAACCAGTCATTCACGACATACGTTTGCGAGGCAAGAACGCGTTCCAAAGTTTTCGCCAGCATACGTCAAAGGAGCATTTTTTTGGAGGGCTAGACACAGCCAGGTTGCGTGTAGACGCATATTTGTTGGTGTAGGCATGCGTCTTCGTATGTGTCTACACCAGCTCGCTTGCAGTAGCCAAAGAAGAATATCTGGAGGTCACTACGCCTCCAAAATTTCGGCCGTAGAGTGCAGAAGCGGTGAGGCAGACAAGTGCGGTCGGAGGGTCGTCGTCGTAAGAGTCGTCGGAGCCGTAGTCGTCGCCGGCGTCGGAGTCGTCTGAGTTGAAAGATGCAGTCGTCGCACTCGCAGTCGTTGCACTTCTCGTCGTCGTCATCATTCTAGGGTCTGTCGAGGTGAGTCTCGGTGTGTCTGGCGTGTGTCTGGCGTGTGTCTGGCGTGTGTCTGGCGTGTGTCTGGCGTGTGTCTGGCGTGTGTCTGGCGTGTGCCCACGGTGTGCGTGTGGCGTGTATCTGGCGTGTGCCTGGCGCTTGCCTGGCGTGTGTCTGGCGTGTGCGTGGAGTGTGCCCAGAGTGTGCGTGTGGCGTGAATCTGGCGTGTGCCTGGCGCTTGCCTGGCGCTTGCCTGGCGTGTGTCTGGCGCGTGTGTGTGTGTGTGGCGTGTGGCGTGTGTCTGGGTGTGTCTGGTGTTTGCCTGGGTGTGTCTGGCGTGTGTCTGTCGTGTAATTGTCTGGCGTGTGACTGATGTGTGTCTGGCATGTGTCTGGGTGTGTCTGGCGTGTGTCTGGCGTGTTTTTTTCTGGCGTGTTTTTTTTCTGGCGTGTGCCTGGCGTGTGCCTGGCGTGTGTCTGGCGTGTGTCTGGCGCGTTTCTGGTGTGTGTATGTGTGTACGTATATGTGTGTGCGCGCGCGTGTGTGTGTGTGTGCGCGTGTGTGTGTGCGCGTGTGTGTGTGTGTGTGTGTGTGTGTGTGTTGGGGTTTGTCTGGCATGTGTCTGGCGTGTGTCTGACGTGTGTCTGGCGCACCCCACCCCGCCCCTCTTTGGTCCTGCGGGGAGTTGCCCCCCCTGCTCTCCAGGGGTGCTCAACGTGTTTGCCCCCCTTGCTCCAACCTGTCCAGGTTTTTTGTTGTCCAGGCTAGCGTCCACGAAACGCATTCTCTCTGAAGTCCCGACCGTTCGCCAGGGCTGAATTTTCGACGCACGAGTCGTCTTGTGATTGTCCTGGGGACCAGCCGGGCCCCCCAGAGGCGAAACGCCCAAAAACTTGCCATGCTTTTTTTCTCACGGCGCGAGCATGTCTGAGGCGCCGCCGCCTGCCACAGCTAATTACCAAATTGCACGGCAGCCTCCTTCGCCTGTTACTGAGGGTGGAGGGGTTCTCCGAAGGGCTTAAGCGACCCGACCTCCTCCTCCTCCTCCTCCTCCTCCTCCTCCTCCTCCTCCTCCTCCTCCTCCTCCTCCTCCTCCTCCTCCTCCCTCCTCGACACAGCCACAGCGCATCGTGAATCCGACACCAGCCCCCGACCCCGAACCCCGCGACACCCTAGAGCTATGGGTGCCGCACCCACCCGGCGGGGCCCGAGGGGGGGAGGAGAAGAAGAAGAAGGAAAGAGAGGCGCCGGCTCCACATGTGCTGCACGACGTGCAGCACCGCATGTGCTGCACGACGTGCAGCACCGACTCACCGAAGGTGAGCGGCCCCCATGCCCACCTGGCTCTTCCAGCACCAGGTGTCACTGGACACCCCCAACGGGCGACCGCGCGGGGCACGCGGTGCGGGAAGGCCATGGGTGTCCAGGCCCACCCCCGCAGACCCCCTTGCCAAAGGGGGGTCAGGTGGGATCACGTCTTGAGCCGCGCCCGCAGGGGCCGACCCCCCCCCAAGCAACTTCCTTGCTCCGCGAGGGCCAAAACAGTGGCTGGCGCCTGCCCCCGCAGGAGCAGGCACCCGCAGGACGACGCGGACCGAG